TTACTTTTTATAAAACGCAGATTGTGTGTGTGTGTCTGTAACGTTTATATATTGGATCGGATTTCCTACATTTTTCAACCGATTTCAACAAAACTTCACAGGACTACATAAAATTACCTTGTGGTGGTTCTAATAGTGCCAAAAATGGGAAAAATATAAGTTTTTTTGCACAAAATCAATTTGAAACCACGATTAAGATACATCGTGAAAATGGAAGGGGGACAACATTCAGAATGCTTTAAAAATTCCATTTACAAGACAATTATTTATAATAAAATTCAATCGGGTGACTCATAACGATTGAAAACAATGTTTTTGTTTGAGTTTGGGTTTGACCAATTTGTAAAAAAAAAAAAACTAATTAAGACATGCGTGTCCGTCAACCTTAAACAATAATCTTTGTCAATTTTATTTTTCAGTCTTTATGATGGTCGATACTTGATCTATCTCTTACTGTTATATCCCCGGGCAACGCCGGGCTCTACTGCTAGTATATATATATATATATATATATATATATATATATATTGTTTGTTTTTTCTTTACATCTTCGGTTGGACTCAACTTGTGTCCGCATTGTTCTTGTACTTGGACCTTCTAGCAGGAATAAACAGCACATGTTCCGAAATTAACAATACGTAAACACACGGTCCTCTACAGGCTTTCCAAATTGTTTTTTTTTATTTACCATTATGAATGTCTCGACTACTCATTCTGCATATCCCCTACAAACATCGCTTCACCAAGTTCTGTTAGACGCCCCACCCCTGCCCTTTCAGCTTGGCTTCCCTGCCAAAATCCTACTAACATTCTATATTAATTCCCTGTGAATTATAGGATTATTTAAAGCTAAATTGGCAGTTGAAAATTACGACATTTTAGGAAAATGGGAACGAAATTTAGGAACACGCAACGATCTAAGAGAAAATGTATGAGGTTTCACGGGAAGTAATTTGACGCGGACTAAGGCGTCGCCTTTGTCATAGATCGATTACTCATTTGATAAAATGAAATGTCTTGATTACTTCGGTACAGGCCTCAGCCAGCAAAACCTCCTACCTTCTTCACCTATCAATCATATTCGGTACTATTTTTCAATCAATATTAACATAGTATTACTTAAAAATCAAGTAATTAGTTTCATAGAGGTATAATGACGTGTGTATCTATCTATCTATCTATCTATCTATCTATCTATATATATATATATATATATATATATATATATATATATATATAATGGGGCTTGGTTTGGTTTGTTTTGTTTTACGGCATATCAACTTCAATGGGTTATTTAATGCCGAAAAATATTTATTGCTAGTAATATTTTGTTTTGTCAAAAATCTTTTTCTGGTAATATTTTTCCTTCAAAAATGAATTGTTGCTAATATTTTTTCTTCAAAAATGTATTGCTTGTAATATTTTTTCTTCAAAAACATATTGTTGGTAATCATTTTTTTTTCAAAAATATATATTGCTGGTAATAGTTTTTTTTTTTCTTCAAAAATTATTGCTCGGAATAATTTTTTTTACAAAGTATTTCTGGTATTAAAAGTTATTTCTACACTTTCATAGTGTTTTTATCCCAGTTTCGGAGTTACCTATTTGCCCATAGCTGGGACCCCTTAACAGGTGCTACTACCCCGGGTCAGGGCGGACCTGGGAACACCAGCAATTAAGAGGTGGTCCCACGCTCTTCAAAACCTCCTGATCACAGATCTGGCTGCTGGACATAGTTTATCGTCTTACCCAGGACGCCGATGTATAGTGGGGCAATGAATGACATTAAATTATGCATCTCTTATTCTTAAAACATCCCAACTAATTCTCTTTACACACGGATTTGTTTTTCATTCCATCCTGAAGCTAAAAATATTATGTTTCTAACCTGAAGCTAATCTTTAGGTACTGAATAAGATCTGACCTTTATGAGGTTTACGTTCTCGTTGTAATGATTTAAAATTGTCTAAGCCTTGTTTATTTAATTATTGTTGCCTAAAAAATATTATAATTATTTATTTATAATTTACATCGTTGGCTATTACGTAAATTCATTAATATATACTTAATATTCTGTTATATAACATTGAGCACTCTATTTATAAAACCAGAGAAAGAAATATGTATGCACAAGTATATGTTAGCATATGCTTATTTTTTATCATACCCATCTCTCTCTCTTCTTATATATATATATATATATATATATATATATATATATATATATATATATATATATATATATATAAGGCTCAAACACTAATATTCCTTGGTTATAATTTATTACATTGAATCGAAATCACGATCCAAATCATCAGACCTACAAATTGACCACTAATATTATCTATATCTATCTATCTATCTATCTATCTATATATATATATATATATATATATATATATATATATATATATATATATATTATTAAAGAAAAAACAATCAGTTGATGAAACCAACGGGCAACTTGGCAATACGTAAAACTCTTATGCAGATAAAGTCTCGACTAAAAACGTCAATGGTGAATAAATATAATAAAATGACCTGAAGGTAGACCTACCTACTCAATAAAGTCCTCGAAGCCTAGATTACTTAGACGGAGTAAAATACCCTTCAAAACGTTAATTTACTTAATAGCGCTCAATCATCTGAATATTGCGTGTGAAACTCGGGTGTGTATATATATATATATGTGTGTGTGTGTGTGTGAAAAGTGTATATAAATGTAAATAAATATATATATGTATAATTACTTATATTATATGCGCGGTACTTTTTTAGATATATCGATGTTTGCGTTAGTACGATGAATGACAAAACGATGAAATTTCCCCTACCACTTCCACGATAACACCAATACACGCAATCTCCATAAACCCAAATTTTTTAAAAAATTAATCAGTTTGTCTGACGATCGCTAAAGCGGGAAAACCAGGGTCACAAACTCACATCTATCCAACCAAATATATATATATATATATATATATATATATATATATATATATATATATACACTGCGTGCCAAATTATTATCGGGATAACTTTTTTTATATTTTTAAAACCGTCCAATCAATTCACATAAAATTTTAACACTATATTGACAACACTGATCTGCGCAATCACTGAAATTTTTCGACCTGATCTGCGCAATGTAAACAAACTGGCGCTATATTTGTTATCAGCACGGTGATTTGAGCGTGCCAAATTATTAGAAAAGTGTAAGAATTTAGTGAAAAGATGGGCCGTAAAAGCAGTTTAAGTAATGCTGAAAAGAAAACTATCACGTCAGAACTCTCAAAAGGTAAATCTACCCTAGAAATTTCTAAAATGATAGGGAGGTGTCATCAAACAGCGAAAAAGTTCACCGCCGACCCTACACAGGTACGCAAAAGGGCAGATAAAGGCAAGCCAAATGTTATTTCACGTCGTCTCATGCTTTTCAATCGCATTGGGGATCCTACTGTGTCTAAAAGTACTTGGTGTCGGTGTCTGAGGGAAATATCAACAACAGTCAAACCTGTATCGAAGCTTCCGTTGATGAGAAATCACATTCAAAATTGATTGAAATGGGCCGATGACAATATGAAGATTGCCTTCTCTAAAGTTTTGTTTACAGACGAAACTCGAGCAACACTTGATGGGCCAGATAGATGGTGCAAAGGCTGGGTAATGAACGGACAGAATCGCCATCAGCGTTTGAGACGCCAACAAGGCGGTAGAGGCATAATGATCTGGGGTGGTATTATTGGAAAAAATTTAGTGGGTCCATGGGAAGTACCAGATGGCGTCAAAATGACAACTGATGCATACATAGCGTTTATGAAGGAGCATCTTGAACCGTGTATGAAAAGGCAAAGGGTTGCCTTCAGAAGGGCCATTGTTTTATGCAAGATAATGCTCCCTCACATGCTGCTCACAAGACTACTGAATATTTGAAACAGTTAGGCTTCGATGGACCTCGAAAAATGGCCAGCAAATTCTTCGGATTTGAATCCAATCGAAAACCATTGGAGCATCATGAAGCGAAGACTGTACGCCAACGGACGACAATTCAGGAGCAACGCTGAGTTGTGAGAAGCAATTCTTGACATATCTCGTGGCATTACAGCAGATGACATCCTACAATTAACAAATTCTATGGATCGTAGACTTCTTCAAGTAATTTCAAAACAGAGAAAGCACATTCACTATTAATTTGTTTAAAACTCTGCCTTTGTTTCTAACTGTTATTATTTGTTTGATTATCTTATTTATTAGCTTCTTTTGATGATAAACATTCACGTGCAACATTAATAAACGTTCTGTGTGCTCAATTCTGAGATTTTTACTCAACCTTTCTAATAATTTGGCACGCTCATGGCGCCAGTTTGTTTACATTGCGCAGATCAGTAGGAAATTTTCAGTGATTGCGCAGGTCAGTGTCGCTAACATTGTGTGAAATATATATATATATTAAATTTAGGCATCAGATTCTGTTTTCGGCATGTCTGATGGAATAAATTACAAACATTACTCTGTTTATTTTATGATAATCCTTTCAAATTCAGTAATGGTTAGCTACATATAGTTTTTACCTTATCAGTTACATTCTTGATGATGATCTCAGAAAGAGATGGAAAGTACTTGGAAAATAAAAGTGATTCTCACTGTTACAGTGCATTTCTTGCTTTATTCAATTGTAATACACGCAAAAATATTAGGAGATATAAAGGATTATGATAAAAATAAGCAGCCACCATGTTGCAATTTATTCAATCAGGCAGACACACACACATGCATGTGTGCGTGTGTGTTGTAGCATTTTTTTTTATTTAATGCTTGCTGAATTTCTCTTTAATCCATGTCCAAATTATTGGGACGTTTCTGAAATAATTTTATCAGGAATAATTCTTGGCTATATGGAATTGTTGGGGGTTGAGAATAAAAGATTTTGTCGATTGTTGGATTTGAAACAAAAATTATCAGATCATCATCTTCTTTTTATAAAATTATTGATATTTTTCATGTTTTATGTGTTCTTGTCTTTTGCCAGCATAATCGACATTGTTTTGTTTCTATATTCATTCATTTTTTGTTTCTTTCATTTTTCTTCCTTTTCTACTTTTAATTCTTCCTTCCTTCACACGTCTCTTTTCTTTTTGTTTTCTTCATTCTTTCTTCTCATTCTTTTTTCATTAATTCCTTTGTCTGTTCGTCTTTTCTTCGTTCCTTTCTACTTTATTGGCTCCCTTCTTTCGCTTGTTTGAGCTTAATTTCCTTTCTTTTTCCATCTTTCCCTATTTTTTCGTTTATTCTTTTTTCGTTCTTTCCTTTATACTTTCATTCCTCCATTTGCTCTTTTTTCGGTCGTTTCTTTTTATTTTTTTCCTTTCCTCGCATATTTCAGTTTATTTTCCTTTCTCTTCGCTTCATCCTTTCCTTTTTTTTATTTCTTTATTTGTTCGTGTGTTTGTTATTTCTTTCTTTCTTTCTTTCTTTCTTTCTTTCTTTTTCATTTCATCTGCATACTTTCCTTGGCACACATTCTTATATTGCTCCTTTTTTCTCTTCATATTTTCTTTATTCTTCTCCCTTTTCTTCTTTCTTTTCCTCGTTTATTCTTTCTTTCTTTCTTTCTTTCTTTCTTTCTTTCTTTCTTTCTTGCTTGCCTGCTTGCTTTCTTTCTTTCTCTTTGGCTTTTTTATTTCCATTTAACGCCTGCTTTTTTCTCTTCTTATTTTCAATTCTTTTTTCTTTTCTTCACCTATTTCTTCATTTCTTTTTCAACTCAACCCCAGGCCTCTTTTCCGCCATTTCACACTTTGGGCCCTAACGCCAGCCAATGTGATGTATAGACGATGCTATAAATAAGCGCAAAAAAGAAATAAGCAACAACAGAAACAAAAAAAAAGAAAAAGAAAAGAAAAAAAAAGAAACAAGAGTAAATAAATAAATAGAAATGAATTTACCCAGATTCGACGGTAGGGGGACGTAACGGAATCAGGAAACGGGAGGGAGCAAATAGATGACTAGAGTGAGATCCGGCATCAATATTACAAGATGCAAGAAGTAATTTATCGTCTGATTCAATCAATCTAACACATACATAAATCACAACACTATAAAGAAATCGAAACTAAAGCTGTCAAAAAAAAAAACTAAATAATAAAATGCGTAAATGCTTTCTTAAGAAAACAAACAGAAAAATAAAAATAAAATATAATTTTTTGAAGTAAACCATCAAAGTAAATATTGGGGATTGCCTACACAATATGTAAGGAAAAAAACATGAAAGCATCCTCAGAAAATTCAGTTTTCTCGCTTATCTATCGCAGCCTGTTCATGTATATTTCTCAGTCTGTCTATCTGTCTTTTTATCGGTGTTCTACACTGAATAACAAGAAAAAAAACATTGTCAGCCACCCAGACAAAAGATGATGCACTAGACTAAATTGAATATGCTGTTTTTAAATCTATAGTCAGTACTCTCTAATCAGATTAAGTATTTGAGATATCATGTGAGGTATTTGAGATATCATATGAAGTATTTGAGATATCATGTGAGGTATTTGAGATATCATATGAAGTATTTGAGATATAATATGAAGTATTTGAAATATGGTGAGCTATTTGAGATATCATATGAAGTATTTGAAATATCATATGAAGTATTTGAGATATCATGCGAAGTATTTGAGATATATGAAGTATTTGAAATATCATATGGAGTATTTGAGATAGCATGTGAAGTATTGGAGATATCATATGAAGTATTTGAAATATATGAAGTATTTGAGATATCATGTGAAGTATTTGAGATATCATATGAAGTATTTGAAATATCATATGAAGTATTTGAGATATCATGTGAAGTATTTGAGATATCATTTGAAGTATTTGAAATATCATATGAAGTTTTTGAGATATCATGTGAAGTATCTGAGATATCATAATGATATTTATGTTCAAGGTATGTATTATAAACTCATGACGAACAATGAAGTCTGTCTTTAGAATCAAATTGGCAATCCAAATAAAATGTCTTGTGTCGATTATCATTGAAGAGGGCTCCAGAATAGAAATAATTTCAACAGCAGTACAAACAATGGCGGCTGTCGCAAACCTAAGACCCTGTTCGAAAGATAAAGAACATCAGTCTTAAAGTAAAAACTGTTCAGATGGCCTCTTTTCTTTAGTTCTATCAGGTCAAACTTTTATAGCCAGGACACGCCATGCTACTTTCACGTAGACAAATTACGCTCATTTCCAGTGTATTAGGAATGTAAAAAAAACAAAAAACAACAACAAACAAACAAACAAAAAACGAAAAACCGAAAAAGAAAGTCCCCCTTTTTCCAGGAGCTGCTGCTTTGTGGAACAGACTCCAGTTTTTTCTTTCCCTGAACATTTCTATCTTAATATCTTCAAGTCGAATGTCAATCATTATTTATCATTCTCATAATTTCCACATCCTACCAGCTCTTATTTCATTCGCATCACACATCTCCTTCATTTTAAGAGTTACTCTCTACCTTGAGATGTTCTCGAGCCGTATATCAGATAAAGTTCATTATATGCAAAATAAATGAAAGAAGAGTTTGTAATGTAATCAATCGTGACCTCGCATCTTGACTTCATTCACTTTCTCACCGACTTAACGTGGCTTCCCTCTGTCTTTTCTACAAATATTTTCATGGCAACTGCTCTGACGAGCAGTTCCCACTTCTGCCTCGATTAAATCATTGTAAGCGTGCTACTAGATTGGCAACTAAGTCTTGCAGTTTTACTGTTGAACTAGTAAGATGCCAGTAGCGGTTTCTAGCAGTTTGCTTTTCTCGCACTTCTCACCTGAACAACTCCCATTCGATTAGCTACTTTCCTGTCATCTACAAAAAAATTAAATGCAACATCAATCGCCATGTTCCTGAAACCTGTTTCTTTATTCTCCTCTCCACACTTCCACTCCCTAACGTCTTCTCATCCTCTTTCACTGTCTGTAACCTCTTGCGTCTTAGTGGCATTATCGCCTTGCTTGGAGTGAATAGATAAAAAAATTGAAAAAATATTTGAGACACTTGCTCTTGTGCATTCATTTAGACTTTTGTCGGTGGAGACATCGATCAGTTCGCGTGACTCTCAGGTATGTGATGATCGTCGAAGATGGACGTAGGTTGAATCAAGATGATAATGTGAGGACTGCATTTTAAAACACATTCCAACAACCCATTCTTTGATATTCTGTTATTTTGTTGTTTATTTGATCAGTATCATTTTCAACTCTCCAAAATCCACAGAAGATCTGTACAAACAAAAAAACAAAATAAAGAAACAAAAAAACAAATGAATGCCATGTCCTCAGCACAAATGGATACAGGTTGAGTACCCTTTATCCGAAATTCCAAAATCCCATTTTTATTCAGGTGTTGAGATGACTTGCCACGAATAGAAAATTGGAAAGGTTCCTATGTGATGTGCACCTGTTGTAAGTGACCCTCATCTGCCCTGTGTAGGGCTTCTCCGGCCCAACTATATAGCCTACGCCTGACGCCAGTTTATTTTTTTTCTTTTATTACCAATCGTCACAGCAAGACGTTCTTTTGTGGATTACTTACCATGTTTTTGTGCTCAGTAAGCGGAGAGGTTAGAAATATAGAGTTGAAGTAGACTCCTGTTCAAAAGACTAGGGAGGAGTGTGAACAGGGCGATAGGCGAACCTATCCACTCCTATTGAGGAGAAAAAGTAAATAAATCGTAAATTTCAAGTTGGAGATTTTAGAAATATAGAGTTGAAGTAGACTTCAAAAAGAACTGGTAAACCAATCCTAAACAAGTAATAAGAGAAAAACCTCTACTCCTAAAGAACGGAGTAGAGATCCATCATATTTTGGTTGAACCGGTCTGGGGGCTTCTCAAGTATGTGATGGTAAACAAGCACACCATGCTCGTCACATAGTCGGAGTTGGATGTAGGGTGAATCAAGATGAGAATACGAGAAGTGAATTTTAAGACACATTCCAACAACCCATTCTGTTATTCTGTTATTCTGTTGTTTATTAGATCAGCCTCGTTTTCAACTCTTCAAGACCCACGATAGTTCTCTAAGTATCGTGTTCTTTGAGGACGCTTACGATCATGGCTCTCCACAATTTCTTGTCCTTTCTAGCTTTAATTAAATTTGATCTTTTTATCTCCTAAACCATGTTCTGTCATCCATTTACTAAAACTCATTCTTCTATTTGCCGTGTCTCTTATGGATCTAGGCGATCATAGCTCTCCACAATTTCCTGTCCTTCGTATCTGTTAATAAATTTTGTCTTTCTGTTATCACTCCTAATACTTGTTCCGCCATCCATCTACTCAAGCTTACTAAGTATGCTATGTGTTGTTTTACTCTGTCTTGCCTTCAGTCTGTCCTGTGAGCATTAGATTCTCCAAGCCCTCTTTCCTCATTATGTGCCCTAGAAATTTCAACTGTCTCTTTCTAATGTTATTTATAAGTGCCCTTCTTATTTCCATTTTCCCTAGAGCATATTATCTCCATATTCATATTCTCTAACACTCAGTAACCTCCTTACGTCTTAGTGGCTTTATTGCCTTATTTGAGGGTGAAATGATTAAAAAAGTCCTCGTTGCTCACATGTTCAGTCCATGTTATTCTCATTATCCTTCTGTAGAACCGCATTTCTGTTGTCTAAAGTTTAATCTTCACCTGCCTTATAGGAGGACTGATATTCAGTTCAGTATTCTTTATTTGTCTCTAGAGAGATTTTCCTGTTTCTTTATGCTTAGCTTAGATTTTGGAAGGCGTCCTTTGCTAACCCAGTGCGCCTTCGGATTTCGGTGTCAAACTGTAAAGCCAATGTAACAAACATAAATGAATGCCACACCCCTCCTCAGGTGGATACTAACATAAAATCAATATAATATTTATTTCGAACATAAATATGTTATCCGTGCATTTATCGCGTAAATACTCTTGACAAAGATATGAATCCATGTGTTTTCTCCCTACTATGGGTTAAATAACTGAGTACACTGAGCTCTCTATCCTTGGTTAGCAACCAGTATAGGCCACAGAGAACTTAAATTCAGCTTGAAGAGGGATAATATCCGTTAGGACATCTTGCCTAGACGTAGCCACATGTAGTGTATCTACAAACTCAATCTATCTATCTATATATATATATATATATATATATATATATATATATATATATATATATATAAGTGTAAATTTTAAATGCATTTTTCGTTTCACCTTTTGAAAGTGAAGTCTAAAGATCCAGAGAAAAATAAAATTCTCTGGTGAAATAAATTATTACAAATGGAGCCTTAAAGTGGTCTGTTTTTCTTTAAATTATATATATATATATATATATATATATATATATATATATATGATATCAAATGACAATTGAAAAAAATCTTAGATTTTGCCGACGGGTTTCGTCTTCCGACTTTTTCAAGGCAAAAATGAAATCGAAATGTTTTTCTTGTTAAAGTTACATTAAAAAAAATCCAAATTTAAAACGTTATATCAATTTGTCTTGTCCACAGAATTGATCTGGGAATTTAACTCTACTTTCAACATGGGAAAAAAAACCCTTACTATAAAGGTAATTTACATTAACCAGAAAAAAAAAAGGCTTAGACAGAAGCGTCTATCTGTTTAAATTTGGATTTTTTAATGTAAGTATAACAACAAAAACAATTCAATTTCATTTTTGCCTTGAAAAAGTCGGAAGACGAAACGCGTCGGCAAAATCTAAGATTTTTTTCCAATTGTCATTTTATACCAATCTGTCTTGTCCACAGAATTGATCTGGGAATTTA